TTTTGGCCATGACGGATTCCCCCCCTCCCGTCCCTCCCCCTCCCCCGTCTCCTGCTCTTTGCAGCATGCTGGGGAATGCCTTGACGCCCTCGAAGGTCTTCACCTCCCTCACGCTCTTCAACCAGCTACGCCTGCCGCTCTTCTTCTTCCCCGCCACCCTCAACGCCTTCGCTGACGCCAAGGTTCGTTCCTTTTGGCGAGAGGAGGCCAGTTCCATGAATAAAGAAGCCGCTTCGTTTCGCTACATGTAGATAATATACCGCACGAATCGTCTCCAACAGGCCACGGTACTATTTTGACCGCTTGGTCCCGCGCGGATCGGTGTTTGGGGAGAGGTGCGATGCAAAAAAAAAAACGAATCCGGCGCGGTGGTTCGATCTGGTCTCGTGGTACAGTTAAGACATGCGGAAACATGAGTACGCGCCCCCCCGCTTCTGGTCCATCCATGCGACACTTAGCCTGGGGCGGCAAGGACCCGGCTTGTCGCTCCGTCCGAGCATTGCGAGGTCTACCGGACTACGCCATGTGTTTACATGAGTACACTCCCCCTTCCCCTACGCTCCTTCGACGTCAGGTTTCTGTGGGGCGCCTCTCACAGTTCTTGAATACGGAGGAAGTGGTTCCGTACGTGCAACGGCAGAACGGGGTCCCCGCGGTCGCGGAGGGCGGGGGTGGGGGAAAGGTTTTTCCGGAGGACGTGTGCGTCAGCATGAAGGAGTGCGCCTTCTTCTGGACTGGTGGGTGGCAGAAGAAGAAATGACCAGGTTTCTCTCGGTCGCAGGCATTTAGTCACTCAACACACGAACGTTGGTACAGAAGAGTATCGCCGGAACGTCGTGTGGATGACAGAAGAAGAAAATCACTTTCGTTTAGAAGGCATAGACACACCCGAGACACGAACGGGGGTACTCAGCAGAATATCGCTGGAAAATTCGGATGTATGGACTAATCGTAGTTGTTGCTTTTTTTTGTCCCGCTGCTGAATCCTTGTGACTTTCCTGCCGTTCTTGGACTGGCTCTTCGTGTACCCTGGAGATATGCAGTAAAGCCAAAATGCTCTCGACAAGACAACGAAGAAAAGCAATTCGCTGTACGCATCGGTTACGTTCAGCGCAATGTTTTTCTTCGTCGTATTTTCTAGATCGTTTGAGTCGCTTACAATCTCCAGAGTGCGGAGACTCAGTCAAGAAATCGCAGTACACCCTATTGAATCCAGCAGCGAGGTCAAAGAAAAAATAATAGTTCGAGGTCGCGATTTCACCGACTTCGTCCGATCAATTGGTTGGGAAGGGGCATGATCACGCTACGGGCGATTCCAAGCGGCACCGCGCTGCATTGGAAACTCGTCGTTTACGCTTCCATTTTCGTGTACGCAAGCGGCGCATTGGACTTGTCATAATTAACGCTACTTTTGATTTTCGCAAGCGGTGCATTCGAATCTCATCGTCTACGCTACTTTTTTTTGGCGTTTACACACACATGGTGGTTTTTCAAAGATCCCGAGGCGGCCGCCGGAGGAGGGGAGGGGGAAGAGGAGGAGCAAGAGCAGGAGGTGTTGCTGCCCGGCCGAACCCGCCGCACAGTGTCTCCCGCTCTGCACGGGTGCACCCTGGAGGTTAAGAAGGGAGAGCTCGTGGCCGTCGTCGGGGCGGTTGGCAGCGGGAAGTCAAGGTGAGAAGAAGACTGAGAAAGAAAGTAATCGCGAGTGCTGCAGAGAGAATGGAGTGGGCAAAAAGAGGGGGAGGAGACCAACGGTGGCAAGTAGAGGCCTAGAAAATGAGAAGTAATCGGGGTAGAGGAGAAAATAAGGGAGGGGGAAACTAGTAAATAGCGAGGGAGGGAGGCGAGCCACAGCAGGTAAGCTAAGGTGCATGACGACAAACAACAAACGACGAGTTGAGAGCAAGGAGTGAAGCGTGAAAGAGAAAAGTGATCAACTTGGAGTGAATAGAGAGCAACAGCAGCAAGTCAAGGTGAAGAGAATGGGGTGAATAAGAAGAGAGAAAGAGTGTAAAGAGAGGCCGATGAAGCCAGCAACAGCAGCAACGTAATGGTGAAAAATATCACGTGTGGAGAGAAAGGAGTGAACAGCGATGGAGATGAGAGTGAATAGACACAGGAGGGGGGCAGATTGGGAGACCGGGAGAGGGGTGTAACAGAACAGCAGCAGCAAGTCGACATGAGTAAAGACGATCAGGAGAACAGAGTGAATAGGGAGAGAGGAAAGAGGGTATAAAGAACGGAGTGGGGGAACAACACTGGTGAGTGGAGAGAAGGAATTAAGAAGAATCCAGGAGACAAAGGGGAACGGGAGTGAACAGTGAGGAAGGAAATAGTGGATAGAGGGAGGGGGGTGAAGAAAGCAACAGCGGTCGGTTATGGTAGAAGTAAGGAATGGATTCGAATGAAGAGTGAAAAGAAATGAGTGAACAGGGAGAGAGGAGAGAGCAAATAGGGAAGGACTGAAGTGAAAGTGAGCAACAGCAGCAAGGTGCGGTGAGAAATGAAAGGCAAACGGAGGAAGGGAAAAGGGAATGAACAGTGAGAGAGAAACAATGAATAGAGGGGGGGGGGGGCGACAGATGCAAGTGGAGGTGAGAAGAAGTCAAAATGCCAAAGGAGTGAACAGGGGGGGAGAAAGGAGTGAATGCAGATTGTAGAGATGAGGGATGGATGCGAAAGAAGGGTGCAAAGGGAGAAATGAGTGAACAGGGAGAGAGAAAGGAGTGAATACAGAAGAGCTGAGGTGATCAACAGCAGCATGGCGCGGTGAAAAATGACAGGCAATTAGGGGAAGGGAGAAAGAAGTGAACAGGGCGAGAGAAGAGATGAATAGAGAGGGGGGGGCGACAGATGCCAAGTCGAGGTGAGAATACGTCAAGCAATCAGAAGTGACAAAGGAGTGAAGAGGGGGAGAGAAAGGAGTGAATACAGAAGGGCTGAGGTGAACGACAGCAGCTAACCACCGCGAATGACGAGAGCAAATCACTATTTAGAAGAGAGAAAAAAGCGAGTACAGAGGAAGCGAGAGAGAATGAGACAGACAACCAGGCAAGTAGGCAAGCGAATATGCAAACACACAGACAGACAGACAGACAGACAGACAGACAGACAGACAGACAGACAGACAGACAGACAGACAGACAGACAGACAGACAGGGACAACGACGTCGACGACGGGGTTGATTTTGTGTCTTTTGGAAGGCGACTGTTTTGCAGTAGTACCTACCCCCCAAGTCCTTTCGCCCGTTCCTACAACCACCACAATATTTGAAAAGATGTTTCCACACCAGAAACCATGCCTCCTACCCTCCCTCCCTCCCTGCCCTTCAGCCTTCTTGCGGCCCTCCTGGGAGACCTCAAGCACGTGTCCGGCGACATCTACGCCGCGGGTGCCCTCGCGTACGTCCCCCAGACGGCGTGGATCCCTAACGACACCGTGAGGAACAACGTGCTGTTCGGGAAGCCGTACGACCAGAAGAAGTACGACAAGGTTCTGGAGGTCTGCCGCCTCAGGAGGGACTTGGAGGTGTGAGAGGGGGCATGTGTGGGAGTATTCGTGGATTCATGGTATGTGCGAGTTGGCGTGTGTGATGCGTACGTGCGGTCGACGCCTTTTATTTTGTGTTGTGTTGTTCGTCACTTGGGGGGGGGGGGGCATGTTTTGGCATGCGTAGCTGTTGGGAGAATGGCGACATGCTCGCTTCTTTACATGACTGACCCTTTCGCAATCCCCCGTGTGCCCTTGCTGCGCAGCTGTTGGAGAACGGCGACATGACCGAGATCGGCGAGCAGGGCATCAACCTCTCAGGGGGGCAGAAGCAGCGACTGTCTCTGGCCCGCGCGCTGTACAGCGATGCCGACCTCTTCTTGCTGGACGACCCGCTGTCGGCGCTCGATGCTGAGGTGAGTGTGTGATCACAAGAAAGCCTGCGGTATACCCGTTGGGTGTGTGATCAAAGTCCGCGGTTTACCGATTGGTTTGGGAAGAAAATCTGTGGCTTTCCCGTTGGTTGGAAAAAATGTTGCGGTTTACCAGTTGGCTGGGAAGGAAGCCTTCGGTTTACCCGTTGGTTAGGGGAAAAGTTGCGGTTTACCCGTTGGCTAGGAAGGAAGCCTTCGGTTTACCCGTTGGTTGGGGGAAAAGTTGCGGTTTTCCCGTTGGCTAGGAAGGAAGCCTTCGGTTTACCCGGTGGTTGGGGGAAAAGTTGCGGTTTTCCCGTTGGCTAGGAGGGAAGCCTTCGGTTTACCCGGTGGTTGGGAAGAAAGCCTGTTGTTCGTAGGTTGCATGCGTAGGTTGCCTGTGCGTACTATTCCACACCCGCTGGGTCTATTTTCAAAGCCCCATTACTCTTCGATGGCGAGGATGCCAAAGTCAATTGACATGTTTCCGGAGAGCTCTCTGCGAGCCGGTTCCAACGGCGGCATTTTCGGCACCGTGACTATTTCTGGTGTTTTTGCTGCCGAGGAATCGACCTTTGAATATTCGACCCAAGGGAGTGTGGCTCATAATGCAACCTACGGTATTCATCCCCATTTGTTTCTGGTTTTTTTTTCGCCGTTGCACGGGTTCAGCCCAAGAAAGTCTTGTCCTCAACAGAAAGTAAAGTCTTGCCTCAAACAGGAGGAAGTCTTGCCTAGCCAGTCATAAAAAACGCCGGTAATGAATGCTGATTGCACTTTTGATGCAGGTGGGGAAGCAAGTGTTCGAGGGCTGCGTGAGGGACAGCCTCGAAGGAAAGACTTGCATCCTGGTCACCAACCAGCTGCAGTTCCTGCCTCAGGTGATTTGTGCACTTGTGCATCGACCGTCGTGTTGAAGATGATGCGTGTTTTTGGTTTGTCAACTTTTTGTCGGATGCGTGTCGTCGTCCGTTATGAGGGAAGAGATAAGGATGTTGTAGTTTTGAACCTGCCGCCAGTCTGGGTTCCGCCTTAGGCACTGGAGTGCCTTGTGTCGAAGGCGGGGTTGATAGCTCAGTCTTGACGGTCCAGTCTTGACAAAAGTGCTGGACAGGCTCAACAACCCGATCTTCAGAATGAAAACTCCCTACCCCGTTTCTCTCGTGACAACCCCGCCCACCCCAAGGTGGATAAAATCGTGGTGATGGGCCAGCTGCCTGGAGCGGAAGGGGCGACCATCGTGGACCAGGGGACCTACGAGGAGCTGGTGGGGAGAGGAAGGGACTTCAGCAACATTCTTGCGGAGCAGAAGAAGAAAAAGAAGGTCTCGGAAGAAGAAGCAGAAACGCAGCAGGTATTAGAGTGGGCGTCCCGGTGGGTGTCACAGCAGGGGAACCAGTTGAAAGTAGGGTGCTCATTTCTGTGTGCAGCGCCGGGGAAAATGTTGGCAGACAGATGCGTCACCGGAAGATCGGCAGTACTGATTATCCAATACAGGTACTCAGTATACAAGGGGCTCGTAAGGAAATCCTCCAGCTGATATGTGCAAACCACATCGATAATATGGTAGGCGCCTGAGCACCCCCCCCTCCGCTCTCTCCCAATCGAACCTGAAACGAACAAACACAGGAGGACGCGGTTGCGGCGGCGGGACACCAGGCCATCGAGACTGTCGTCCACCATGACGGTCAAGTTTCCAAGGCCGCGCCGGCGGCAGTACACGCCCACGAAGCGCCGGAGCATCAGCCGTCGCCCCCCGCCACCGGTAAGTCGGCGCAAACGCCATCTGAGGGAGTTCCGCCAAGGGCGGCGGCGGCAGGGGGGTGGGGCCGGGCCGGCAAGGAGTCCGGCGTCTTGATGGGCGAGCAGAGCAATGAAGATTTGTTCTCGCACGTTGTCGTGGAGGAGGGGGACTGCGGACCAGTCGCTGCCCTGCAGGTGAGCGGAAGGCGTTATTGGGTTTGGGGGTTTCATGTCGCTGGTGGGTGTATTTTGTATTTTACAGCAGCTTGGATCGCGGCGAAACGACAAGTACAGTGTGTTTCGGGATTGGCGACTTGTTTTCTCCCAAGGAATTATTGTCGTACTATTCTGGTGTTTGATTTTCTTGGAGTAATTAAGTGTTCGGAGCAAGTTTAGCAAAAGCTCCTGTCAGCTCTTTGCCAGCGGTCAAAGCAGTGACTGACATTCATCCAACCTCGAAACACGGGCGCGGAGAAACATGGCGGGAGTGTCGGAAGGCTGCCCGCACGACCGTTTCATGCTTGCAGTTGGTGGCAAACAAGCCCGTTTCTTCCTCTACACATACCCCACCGCGGACGTTGCGGACTTTTTTTTTTCCGCGGTCTGCAGAAATACATGCGTCTCTGTTGCCCGTAAATAAATCCCAGTCCTTGGTCGGGAAGTCAGCCGCAGAGCTCGCCGGAAGAAAGTCAGACGTAAACAACGCCTCCCCGAGACACCAGAGGAAACCTGCGTGGCATGTGCTGTGGTTCTCACACACGGTACAGCACGTACACACGTGCGCGCGTATCTAATAATAGCAAGCCCGTAAATACCTCCATCCCCTGGGGGGGGTATCCTCCGCCTTGCTTGCATGTCGCAGGGAGCGCAGCAAGCGGAGAGCGTTGTTGCGCTGGGTGGAGACGACACCGCCAACACGAGCAAAGGCGGTCTCATGACGTCCGAGGAACGCTCGACAGGAGCCGTCGACCGACAGGTGTACGTGGAGTACATGAAGGCGCTGGGCCCGAGGGTGGTGCTGCTGAGCCTGGTAGCGGTGTTCGTGGTGTCCAACTTCACCGTCCAGATACAGCAGTGGTGAGCTGGGAGTATCGCTGTGTATCGCTGTCGCCGTTTGTAGATGTAGATGACGCAAAATTTTATGTAAACCTGTCTCCGGTATTCCTGCACTCTGCTGCAGCACCGCGCCGCATGCGCTGATTCACGGACCCCCCCCTCCCGAAAGAAAGAAAAAACGGAATAACGCAACAATGTTACTGCGTGTGAAATAAATCGCCGCGACAACGGAACAATAGGGTGGTGTCCTTCTGGTCGTCGGACCCGCTCTACGCTCGCCACCCCCTGGGTTTCTACCTTTTCGGCGTTACGGCCTCCGCGGCGGTGGTCGGTGTCTTCTCCCACCTCCGCACCATGTGGGCCTTCTACCTCGGCCTCGGAGCCAGCAAGCGCCTGCACGGGGCGCTCTTGAGGAGGGTGTTGCACGCCCCCGTGAGCTTCTTCGACACCACTCCGGTGGGGCGCATCATCCAGAGGTTTTCGAAGGACACTGACCAGGTACCTGACCATATTTTTTTTTCTTCTTTTCTTGCTGTTATGATGTTTGTGTGTGTGTGGTTTTCTGTAGGTTGTAGTATGCTGCGGTGCCACTGAGTGTCTGCTTAGCTGTTGTATTTCCAGTGTGTTTGGGTGTTGCGTTTCTTGGGGGTGTATGCCTTATTGTTTTGTCGGTTGTGGCTTGTATGTTCGTTGATTTCGAAACTGGGCTGGTGTTGCTCATTTGGGATCATCAGCCCCTTTCTCTTGACGACGGTATGAAAAAGTCGACATGTACATACTCGCGAAATTTGTCGTTTTTCACGGGAGATTGCAATAGGCTTTCCACTCTAGAGTGATAAAATGAACTCCAACCTGCTGCTGCTAGCAGGTTTACGACTAGACCACCGGGGAGGGGCCGCTTGTGTGCAGCCAAAGGTGCTTGACTCTTTTCCAGCCTCGCCAAAACCTTGTACAGCACGCCTACCGATAGGCGCCCCTGCTTCCCTATCTATGGTGTTGAACGTCGCGTACTCCTGCTGCACCATGGTCATCATATTCGTCACGCGCAGGTGGACCAGAACCTGATCTCCCAAGTTGCGATGGTCATCAACGGGGGGCTCGGGGTGCTGGCTGCCGGATGCGCCATCATCGTGGCCACTCCGGTATTCGCATTCATCCTGGCACCCCTCTCCATCGTATACATACGAGTGATGAACTACTTCAGACACGTCGCGATCGAGCTCAAGCGACTGGAGTCGATCACAAAGTGAGAGCATGACATCTGCTGTTAGCATCGACCGCGCTAACCGGCTGACCAATGAAAAGACGTCACTCTCAGTGCGACTGAGACAGAAAGCGCTTGTAAAGGCCATGATTTGGGACCGCGTGGGTGTGTCTTTTTGTGAATCGACACCGAAAGGAAACTATTAGGCAGCGCTGACTATGTCTATCGGTTTGATTTCGGCTTTTACAAAGGTTTGTCTAGTCTGGTGGTTTCACTTCGGCTTCTATATCTACCCTCGGGTTGTGTTGTGTGTTGTGGGCCCTCTTGCTCCTTGTGACGAAGACAGTTTTTGACGCTGGTCGGTTCGAGCTTTCGAACGGTCACGAGTTCGTTCGGACGGGAGTGATACCCAGCCAAGATGACATGCGGTGCTACGAATTAGCCCGGCTACCTCAGTTGCCCCTCAGTTACCCCGACTCGTCGTCGTGCATCTCAACACCACACGCATTCGCCCTGCTCCCATACTTTCCGTCGCTGCCGAACCGTGGCCAATTCCGGTCTGTAGGTCCCCAATTTATGCGCATTTCACGGAGACCCTCGGAGGTTTGTCGGCGATCCGGGCGTTCGGACACGTTAACCTGTTTGCGAGGACGAACGAGAGGCTCGTCGACAACAACCTCGCGTCTCACTTTGCCCTCAAGGTATGTTGTCGTCTTTGTTGTTCGTGGTGTTGTTGATGTTGTTGGCGGTGGTGGTGGTGTTTTGTTGCTGCTGTTGCTGCTGTTGGTTGTTGTTGTTGTTGTTGATGTTGATGTTGTTTTTGTTGTCAGGGATGTCAACAAAACTCCATTTCATCCGCATTACACTGGTCATGTAGTCGAGGTATCTCACCCACCCCGCTCGAATGTTTTTTTCCCGTCCGCTGTGATACATCCGATGCTCTTGTGCGCCCCTCGCGTCTTGAACACGCATCAGACTAACCGTAGCATAGCGCCAAAGTCTCGCTCCGAAAAGGAAATATCTGGCACAGGACATGGCACAGGTTGACTCACGCTTCTCCGCCCGTGTCTTCTCGACCTCTGTTCCCAGGCCGCCCCATTTTGCTTCCCTCCGCCCCTTGCCTCGCCCTCGGTATTCGACAGCAGCGCCTTCTATTGTCTCGGTGGCGATGTAACCACCTACCTATTATTCCTTGCTTGTGTTTTTCCCCCCCACGGAAATGAATGTGCAGGTGGTGGACCGTTGGCTCTCGGTGCGTCTGGAGATGCTGGGGAACTTGGTGGTCCTGATGGCCACCCTGCTGTCCGTCCTGGCGGCCAGCAACGGCAAGCTCGTCGCTGGTCTCGCCGGGCTTTCCATCACCAACGCTCTCAGGTACTGTATCCACGCACGTTATTGTGCTGTTCCGCGTTGCGCAAAATATCTGGGAGTGAATCGAAAAACGGGGATGGTTCTCTCTCCTGCAGTATCATGTTCAACGAAGCACATGATTGCGCAAATTGACGCTGAGACCCCCACCATTTGACACGACGAAACCAAATAAACATGGAGCAGTTACGACTCAAGGTACCCCCAACGTTGTTTTGTTTCGATTTGCTCCATTTGCTCAAATTCATTGTTTTATAATATTTTCTGCAGCCATAAGTATATATTTTTTCTTGTTTTTTTGCCGTCAAATGGTTGTTTTTGTCATGCTTGAGCCTGTCGGCTTTCGTTCCTGTTTCCTTTTCTTTTGGCATTAGTTTTTTCACACGGCGGTTGTATCTACTTGTATCCTTTGTTTCACTTCGGCGCTCTTAGGTGCTTCTGCCTTGTCTTCCCTTGTGTTGTTTTGTCTTGTCACGCTGTATCATGCTGGCTGGTATCACTTGTGTCACTTCGGCTATTTGTGTCACTTCGGCTCTCAATTGTATATTTGTTTTGCGTAGAAATAGAGCAATAGAGCACGACGCGGACGCCTTCCGTGGTTACAGACGCTGTTTAGGTAGTAAATAAACACTGGCAGAATTTTGAAAGTGGTGTTGCAGGTGGCCGATGATCATGCCGCTGCATATGAGCGTATCACGACCGTTGGTTTCACTTGCTGCCTTCCCTGATTTTTGTTTTTGTCTACGAAAAAATTGTCAACAATCCCGAGTATAGCCGCAAAGAAAGAAAAACATCGTCTTTACGTCCCGCAATCCCGGATGATGCTGTTTTTTTTTCCTCGCAAGGAGCGAACGTTTCCCCTTGAACCGTGTCTGACGGAACCAAAACTGTGTGCGAACATCTATATGCCAGCGTGACGGGGCTGTTGAACTGGGCCGTCCGGTGCGTTTCCGAGACGGAGATGGTGATGAACTCGGTGGAGCGGGTGCTCTACACTTCGCAGCAGACGCCGCAAGAGCCGCCGCACCACGTCAGCAGGTGGGCTTCTTCTGTGACTGGTGCCATATGTGGGCTTAGCGCGGTTTCCTCTAGGGTTAAGCTGAAGTTGCCTTGATTTGCCGAGAGCGTTTGTTTTTTTTATATACGGCGAGGGTGGGCGACAACGACCCCCCCACCCCCCCTCTTCCGCCGTCCACCTGCTCTTTCGAAATTTTGTTTCATCACGAGATTTCTTTCATCCTCTCATGACCGAGGCATTCGTCCTTCCACCAGCGTGACCGACAAACCCCACTCCCCCCCATCCGTCCTCCGCCTCGTTTGTCAATTCACAAAATTTGGTCTCGAAATTTCTGTGATCACCATAAAAATCTCTCTCCCTCTCTAGGCCGAGGCATCCCTACTACCAGCAGCTGTCCGGCCTGACTGGGGAGAATCTCCCGACCATCCCGGAGGAGTCGCTGCTCACCAACTGCCCGGACGACCGTCAGCTGCTGAGGTCAGGCTGGCCTTGGGAAGGCCGCATCGAGCTCCGTGATGACGTCACCATGCGGTACCGCCCGGAAACCGACCTGGTGCTCAAGGGGGTCACCCTGACCATAAGGTGTTTATTTAGCCTTGTGTTGTATGCATGATCCTGCCGCCGTTTGTAACTGCTGCTGGTGCCAGTAGCCTTTGCAGTTTCTTGGTAAGAATGTAATGTGGGATAAAGCATGTAATCGGGGAAGTTGGGTAACGGTTACGGTTAGGGAGGAGGTTAGGGTCTGCGTGCCCCCTCCCGGTTCTATTTCCTCATGTACTTAATTTCTCGGGCGAGCGCGGTCTGGTGGTGCTCAAGGGGGTCACTCTGAGCACAAGGTTTTGGGGAGAGATAGCCTTGTTTCTGCCGCTGTTTGCAACCGTGGTTATTTTTTTGTTTTGCCGCTGCAGAGACAGCGGTTTTATGTCGGTGAGTGTTCGCGCGTTCGTCGTTGATCATGAAAAAAAACGAAAACTCAGGCCTGGAGAAAAGATCGGCATCGTCGGGCGGACCGGCAGCGGCAAGAGCACCCTCATGCAGGTGTTGTTCCGCATGGTGGACTGCGAGGAGGGGTCGATCGCCATCGACGGCGTCGACACCAAGGCCATCGGGCTCGCCGCTCTCAGGTCGAGGCTGACCATCATCCCTCAGGTGCAAATAAACAATTTTGCCATTTTTCGTGAAAATGTGTATGTATGCGTATATGGGAATCGCCAGTGAAACTCTTGCGCTGCCACCTGAGGAAAGTCTTTGTTGAGGGAACCCTCGCTCTTTGCTAGGTCAGCTGGGGGAACCAACAGGGGAATAGATGGGATTTCGTGGGGTGCTGTAGGGTGCAAGTTACTAAGTGTCGTGATAATCGAACCCTACACGTTTTAACCACCAGTTATCTCTCTCTCTCTCTCTCTCTCCCTCTCTCTCTCTCTCTCTCTCTCTCTCTATCTCTATCTCTATCTCTCTCTCTCTCTCTCTATCTCTATCTCTCTCTCTCTCTCTCTCTCCCTCTCTCTCTCTCTCTCTCCCTCTCTCTCTCCCTCTCTCTCTCTCCCTCCTTGCCCCATCCGCCTGCGTTTCAATCTCCCCGTGTGCGTAGGAACCTGTGCTGTTCAGTGGTTCGCTGCGGGCCAACCTCGACCCGTTCGAAGTCTACACCGACGAGGAGGTGTGGGATGCCCTCGAGCAAGCTTCCTTGGCTGCAACGGTCAGGTACGTTCAAGTTGATGCGGCGGGTTTGGTTTGGTTGGTTGTCTTCGTGGTTGCGTGGTGTTTGGGGTGTATTGTGGTTGTAGGGTTGGTGTTGGTGTCAATGTCCATGCTGTTTCCTATCGTGTTGGTCACACGCACACACACACAAACACACACACACCCGGCATCTGCGACAATTTCCTGTGTAGGACCGCGAGTGAAAACATGCCGTCTCGATCTCGATGGATCATCACTCCCTATACGTGATTAGTTGCTGTCCGCGGCGCGCGGTATTCGCACGTCCCGCCACCCCAGATCGGCTTCAGGAAATGTGACAAATTTTGGTTTGGCCCTGCTGTGCAGTATTCCAAGGCCCGTTCTCTATTCTTCCGGCGTGCCACCATGCACGATATTGACGACCCGACCCCCCCCCATACACCTCTTGCGTCACCCCTTTTTGGTCGCAACAACCGTGACGTCACACACACCCGTACCGCAGGAGGTTCCCGAACAGCCTCCTGGAGCACGTGGCGGAGTACGGGGAGAGCCTCTCTGCCGGGCAGAGGCAGCTGGTGTGCCTGGCTAGGGCGCTGCTGCGGAAGACGCGGGTGCTGCTGCTGGACGAGGCGACATCTTCGGTGGACTACGAGACAGACAACGTCATACAGTCCACGCTCAGGTGAGGGGGAGTTGTCGTGCACAAGCTGGCCCTAGGTTCAGCGTGTCTACGTGCGCGGGGCTTGAGCTAAGAACGAGCTTGAGATTGACGCGCGACCGCAAGAAGAGTGCGTCGAGGTGTACTGAACCCGGTTGTATGAGCCAGGCGACAAGGAGTTGGGTTTCCTCTGCACAGGCATACGTGACCACTCGCGTCTTGTGTAGCTTGACGGTCGCCGATCTCCTTTTGCTTCTCGTCCGTTCTTTCATCTACTTTTTTTTTTTTCCATGATGCGCCCGTTTGTTGATTTTCAGCATATGACGTCTGATCCATCTCTGCTGATGACTCGTTATTTTTCTCGTGCTGCTGCTCTGTAGGTCTGCCTTCCGAGACTGCACCGTGTTGACGATCGCTCATCGCCTCAATACCATCATGGACTCGGACCGCATCCTTGTCATGGACGACGGAAAGGTGGCTGAGCTCGACTCTCCTGCCGCGCTGCTTGAGGTGTGTGGGTGTATATTATAATGATAAGAATATGTTGCGGTGAGTGATGTGGGTAGACTAGACTACATCAGAATATGCTGCAAGTGTTGTCGTAGATCCATGTGATGTACCCACGCGACAAGACTTACGACATCAATCTGTTAGTGTTCCCACGCAGCAACACGGACAGCATCGATCCATAGCCTACCCACACGACAACAATCGCAGCATCTACCAGCAACAGTTCCACCACCTTCTAATGTGTAGGCTAGCCATACGACAACACTCACAACATGTTGTAGGGTGGGTGAAACGACCGGGCCCAAATTTGCACGCGAAGTAGTCGCACTCCACGGTAGGCTCTTTCTGTCCGTTGGGCTTCCGCCGCACCGGTTTCTTGGTGGCGTCCCGAGATTTGGAGCGGTCATGTTTGCCTTGGCGTGCCCAATCGCGGCTCCGGTCAACCCCAGAGACATGAGCGGTTGTCCCCGGAGCTTCCTCTAGGACGTTTGAATTTTCTCCGGTCAACTCCAGAGACATGAGCGGTTGTCCCCAGAGCTTCCTCTTGGACTGTTTGATTTATATTACAACGTCCTAGAGGGAGCTCTGGGGACGAGCGCTTATTGTCTCTGGAGTTGAACCGGAGGGCACGCCAAGGCAAACATGACCGTTTCAATTCTCGGGACGGGCAGGGTGAGGCCGAACCCGCCAAGAAACCGATGCGTAGGAAGCCTGACTAATAGAAGGAACCTACCGTAGAGTGCGACCAGTTAGCGTGCAAGTATGGGCCGGGTGGTTTCACCCACCACACAAGATATTGTGAGTGTTATCGTGTCGCTAGACTATGTATATGGATGCAACATGTTATGAGTGTCATCGTGTGGGTAGACTACATATGTAGATGCTATAAGTGTTTGCTTCGCGTCAACAAGGTTCGGACTTGTTGTCAGGGGTGTCCCCGACGTTGGTCATATCGAGGAGGTATGTGCGTAGACTGCCGAGGATGACGTATGATATCACACCCCATTGGACCGATTTTCAAATCTTGGTGGTGCCGCAAACGTTGGAACCGCCTAATCGAGAGCTTTCCGAAAACGGATCGTTTGATGTATACATCCTCTTCGTCGTGGAGCAATCGAGCTTTTTAAATCGGTCCTGGGGGGGGGGGTGCCGTCTCTCCGTCTCTCTTTGTACATATACATAGATAAGTGTTGTGGTCTTCGCGTGAACAAGGTTCTGACTTGGTCATTCTCAGGAGTGTGTCTCTGACGTTGGGCGTGATGCCCCCGCCACATGTGTGACTTGCTAGGGTAGGTATTAGGGGGCCACGCGTACGCGCAAAATGTTGGGGTGGGTAATACGGGCCGACGATTCGACGATCAATGTTTGGTGTGCACGGCAGCTTGAACCTGGGGGTATAAGCCGAGCAGGGAAGGGCTGGAGAGAAGCACGATAACAACCCATCTTGTCAGATTGTTTGTTCAGACCCACGTTTATGGTTTCCAAATCTTTATCTCCCTTTCTTTGGACAATGTTGACTTTTTCGACCTTTTGGGCAGTCTGCCTCTCGAACGAATGCGAATCGGCTTTTCGACCTTCGAGAATAGTCACAGCTTTGGCTGAGATGTATACAGACCCCCTATTTGTTTCGCCAGGGTCCACGTTCGATTTTTTTCCAGCAGAGCAAGATGTGCAAGTTTCGGCCGAAAGACCACCTCGGAGCAAATCTTGGGCCAAGATCTGTCCAAAAGATGGTGTTGGAAAATCTTGCGTGAAAATTGCGCATCTTGAAAAAATCAAACGTGGGCCCTGGCGAAATATATAGGCGATCTGTAGACATCTGAGCCAAAGCTGTGACTATTCTCAAAGGTCGAACAGCTGATTCGCATTCGTTCGGGAGGCAGACTGCCCAAAAGGTCGAAAAAGTCAATATTTGTCCAAAGAAAGGAAGATAAAGATTTGGAAAACATTAACATGGGTCTCCGGAAGTCAGAATATTTTGTCACGTTCAGGAACTGAGAACTGAGCGTATACGGGAAACCTGGAAAAGGCTTGCCTCCGATCTTCGATCAATCAGAGGTCGATGTTTTTTTTTTTGGTTTTCGTGCAGTCCTTGCAACACCCGGGCTCGAAATTCTCAACACAACCCCCTGCAGCCACCTTCGTCAGGATCGATTGGCCATCGGTGGTCCTTTGCTGAGGAAACAAAACTCAGTCCTCTCGAGGACGCGTGGTCCAACCTGTAAGGCGTGCGAAACATGAATACCACCAACACCGCCACTTCGCGCTGCCCCCCATTGCAGGACCCCACGTCTCAGTTCTCGCAGCTGCTGGCGTCGGAGCGGCGGCAGTCTTCGCGTCCTGCTGACGAAGCGGAGATTGATTCCACCGCCGCCGCTGTACACGACGAGGAGCACGATCACCAGGACTTGGACAAGGTTGTGGGCGTGGTGGGAGGCGGAGAGGGTTCGGCAGCGGCGGCAGCGGGGACGGCGGCGGCGGCGGAGGCACCCCCTCCGTCCCAGTAGTATGGGATATCGCTCGCTTCGGGGAAGAAGAGTTGTTGTTTGTAAGGGGTGGAAGCAAGACCGTTGTGCTCGCCACCGGGGGAGATAATCGGTATCGGTCGCGGAAGAAGCAGTGGTAGAAGGGTTGCGTACGTAGTGTGCAGTTCGTGTCCACGAAAAAACTCCTATCCCCTTCCCACGGCACCCCCTACGCGGCTGCACGATACTTGTTGCTGTTTTTTTGTGTTGAAACCGTCGCCTGCTGCTGGCAGTATTTGTGACCAGGTCGGGGCTGAGGAGAAGCCGCTATGACACAGCCGCTCTCTGTTGGGTACGTACCGCGTACGACATAGAGTATGTTTGATACGCGCGCGGGTGCCCAACGGTGAACCGCAGTCTTTTCCTCTCCCAGGGGAGTACGCCAAGAAATATATCTCCTGGTGTCGTCGCCGTACGTACCATTCGGCCTTGAAGGAGGGTGTCGTATTTCCTACGCTAGAGTTTCGCGTTGTGCAGCGTACGTTTGCGCGACGAGGAGGGGGCGCGGCAGCTTGTTCGTGTTTGTTGTTTTTCCTTGTGGGTTGACTTGTAGTTTGTGTCCACCTGCCTGATCCGAAACGCTTCGGGGCTATCTATTTAGGTGTATGATGTGCGTTTTTGGCAGCCCTCGTTTTTTCTGCCTTGAGGTTGTTGTCTTCCCCTCTCTTCCCATTCCCATTCCAGTCGGTGTCGCATCGTTGCAAGCACCTACCAGTATCCTCCACTCATCCCCGATATGAGTGTCAAGTCACAATGAGAGGCGACTGAAAGAGAGCGCGCCTCCTCGATCACGAGAAGAAAACGCGCTGATCAAATCGTGCCGTTTCGTCGTCTCGATGTAGGCTGGTTTTCATCGAACGGACCTATAGGGAACAGTCCGCTCGTGTGCCGCTTGGGCCAACAGCGAGCTCTTGCTTTCTTCGGTTGTGACACGCATGTGTGGTTGATCCGATCCATGCGGCGATAGTATAATAGTATTCGTGTATAAGTGTCGGAAGCAAACATGGATGTAAGCCCCTTGACTTTGGGGATCTCGACAAAAGTATGTGGCGTGTTCTAGCTGTTTTACCGAGATTTACATGATTTATCATGTGCTCTGTTCATACGGGGTCTACGCTGTGTGAAAACCATTGCTGGGGGGGGGGGAAGGGGGGGCTATCTCCGATTGTGCGGTGGTTTGCAGCGGTGCGCGGCAAAACAAACGACTCGGTGCGCTTGACAGCAGAGATTTCAGGGTTGTGTGAATTGCAGCATGGCGATGATGATGATAGACGGAAGCTTTAGACGCTTGTATTCAATTGCGGCGAACGGACGCGTTGTTGGTGTTGCGCACCCTCCAAGAAAATAATAACCAAGTGTGTATGATCGTTTGTGATGGCACAGAAATTGGTTCATGATTAGGCGCGGATGGTGACAGCGGGAGATGGATGAGAGCAAGACAGCACGCTGGTGTCGGGTTCGGTTTACACATACATATGCGGGGGCGGGGAACGCTGGTTGAGTGGGAACGCTCACTTCGCGTTGGTGGGATGGCGTGGACCCGAACATGCCCCCGCGAACAAGATTCGTGTTTGCCACGGAACTGTGAATGCGGAGCTGCAGATAGATGCGGACAACAAGGAAAATCGAGAGAGGTCCACTGGTCGCACCGCGCCCCCGACCCACCCCAACCCACCCCAACCCCGGGCGAATGGAAACCAGTAGGATACATGCTCGACGGTGTTCACTTCACCTACATTCGGGAGCACACAGTTTTGTCCCGAGCACACAACGAACAGAGTTGAGCACCAGTGAGAGAAAAGCGCAGCACTCCGCGGATTGAAATCAGACGCCACAGTGCTGACGAACACGTGTATATGTGATTTGATACGACTACCGGAAGCAAGCCACCCCGGCGGTTTTAAGTTGGTGGCATTTTCGCTACACACCTTGCGATTCTTAGGCCGACGGTTGTGGTTTCGATTCTCTCCAGAAAGTAAAAAATAAATGAAATTTGCGCGAAAAGCGTTGTGAGTACACACACAGCATTGAGGGGCGGGACTGATTGCTGAGCCATTCTCACATTAGGATTTGGAGGCTAACGCAGTAGGTAGAGGAAAGATGGAGAACAAATATAGTAACTCTCCTGTGTGACCCTGGCTGGTGTGCCAAACATGTATCGAAGCTGGTGCGAATGAAAAAAACTTGTGGTGTGTGGGCCCTCTCCTCCTGCTTTCCCCCGGCTGGTGGCCTAAGAGACAGAAACTCCAAAAGTCGAAAAAGTCACCGTCCAGCCAAGCGCAATAAATGGGATGACGCACACGCACACGCCGCTCCACATCCGCGACCCCACCTCGCGGGACCAACCCGAGGTCATGTGGCCTTCAGAAAGAAGAATTTTGTGTTTATTTTGCCGCACTGAGACTGACGTCTTTCGTCATTGGTCAGCCAGTGAGCGCGGTCGATGCTTGTATGCATAACAAGGACACAAACACACACACCGGCGCCAACATCACCTGCTGTATGCAGCGGGTCGAGAATCTCAATGTATTTCGAACGTTCTTCTAGAGATCTTTGGACTGCCACGTCTAGCGCGCATCGACGGGTGCAACGGGTCTTTTTCGATTCGCTGTCGGGAATCGTCTGGAGGCCATGCAAACGGACAAGGCGTCGGCTGTTTTCTTACGCTACAAACAGCTCGTTCCAAAGGAGTAACACCAGACGAGATTTTCAGGCTCGACTAGACGTACGGACCCTCAATTGAACCGTGATCAATTTCGCGCAACCACGGGCGGTTTATCCCTGAAACATGTCACAAACGTCCTAGAAGGTAGCAGGGCACAAGAAAGTGTGGTCGGCGATTCCCGTGGAAGTCTGGCGTCATCAATCAGACCAATCAGTCAATCACGGGGAATTTGAATTTTTCGAGTTTTCCCGAAAAGGCGACCTCACAAACGTGGCTGACGTCATCGGTCGACCATGGAATTTTCGTCCAAAGGAAATTTCCTTTCAAAAAAATTGGCCAATCAGAAAACTGCGGGGACCTTTTCTCTCTCTCTCTGTGATTTGAAGAATATGATTCAACGAAGTAGCGGATAGGTCGCCGAAAACACACAGATAAAAGTCGGTGAGTTAAGATACATGTATGATATGACTGGGAGACCCTTTTCGGGGGCTATACGGACCGCAGCGAAAAATCGGCCTTGGATATCACAAAAAAAACTGCATCTTTGCCCCCCCCCCCTCCCCTCCGATGTTATGTGAGACACACCGGTGCAAAAGTGCACGAGTTCAGCGGACACCCTCCTCCCTCTCGCCATCTAACACTAGTACGACAACCACCATCGGCTACCAATCCCCCCTATGTTTACGCGACCTGCGCCTTTACAGAGCCGTCGCGCTGGTTGGGTCGCGAAGCACGTACCTGTACCTCTTCCTCTTTAACACGACACAGACCACGGACCACTAAGCGTGGTACAGCACAAAACAGAAAAACCGCAAAACACTAATAACAACCGCAAAAAAAAAAAAAAGGCGGCAGGCAAACGAAACCTTCAAACCCGAGAGAACCGAAACTAAAAGCGCTCGCAAATGGCGGCACAACAGGCACCACGGGTCATCAACAAGGACATTTTTAATCACCTTTTTATTGATAGCCAAGCGCGGAGCAATCCAGCTTCTTCGGGGAAACGCGCCACCAGACTAAGAAACTAACCTAGGCTTGCCTTCGATTCGTTGTTGCCTGCTCCCCTTCCGAACTCGCCGCTCCTCCAACGATAAGCAAAAACTACTACTAACAAGCTCTGCTGACTAGCCCGTGCACTCGTGACACATCTGCAGAGATGCACCGCGGCCACTGTATGGGTAGTGGCACATGGTTGAAATCCATCTACTTGTGATGGAACTACAACCGCCTCCTCGTGTCGGCGGAGGAACACAACACAAAAGGCATGACAAGCCAAGGCTACATAGGATAGATAGTCCAGGTCATTGAGGAAAGTCTGAACACGACGAACGAGCAGCAAACACAGCAGCGATTTGACACCTCGGCACAAAGGACACCCGTTGCACGCCTCTCAGACCGCAACCGGGACGAAATGACCTAATCATCTAGTTATTGCCACGAAAAACAAAAACGTCAAGCAAGCAAACATGATATTCAACAATAACTTGGGCATTCCGGGGTCAACAAACCACAGAACGTACACGTAGTAAACCTCTTCCTGAACACACTTTCTACCCATCTACAGAGAAACGGCCGCCACGCCCTCCTCCCCGGCCTTGTTGCCCCTCTCCCAGCCTAGGCGGCGGTGGCGGCCCCGCGAAATCCCCGCTCGGTGCTGCTGCTGCACCCCCTGGCGAAGGCCCGCGCCCACCGTCCCCCCTGCCGCCGAAACGTTCTACCCATCTGCCGGCGGTGCTGGTGCTGCCGCCTCTGGGGGGGAAGGAACGGCCTTTTCCGCTGCGCGCCCCGCCGCCTCCTCGGCCAGCCTCAAACCGGCCCCCGCCCCGGGCTGTCCCGAACCGGCCCCCGCCGCCGCCGCCGTCGCCGTTCCATGACCTAAGTCCTCCTCGCCCTCTCCCATCCGTACCCCGTCCTCCTCCTCCACCTCTGCTTCCTCCGCTACCTTGCCGTGATAACCGCGACGAACCACCGTTGCTTCCCGTCGCCTCTGGCTCAGCAGAGGCCGCACCATCTCCGCCTCCCGCCCCCTCCCCCGCCTTGTCCGAGAGAGGCCCAGCGGCAGCGGCGGCGGCGGCGCGCTGTCCCGACGCCTCGCGCCGCAGGCTATGTCTACGCCCGCCGGCCCCGGCTACCGCCGCACTGCCGCCATCTCGCCGCCGCCGCCGCCCTTGTTGTTGCGCGCTCACCTCCTCCGACTCCGCCGCCGTGTACCCCGGCCCTTGCCGCTGCAGCTCCGTCACCGCTCTCAGGGTCGTTAACTTCCGGCGCCTCAGCTCCGCCACCGCGGCATTCGCCAGCTCCGCCGCCTCCGCCTTCGCCCGGGCGATCTTGACCGCCGCCGCAGACTTCTTGCCGTCCCGCGGCGGCGGCGGCGGGGGCGGGGACGGGTCGGCCTCCACGAGCGCCGCCGCCCCGCCGCCTTCCACGCCGTTCGCCCGGGCCAGCTCTTGATCGCCCGCGAAGGCTGTCAGCGCCGTGAGGATGGAGGCGAAGTCCGGCCGCAGGCGGCTCGACTCGTTCCAGCACTTGTGCATCAGGTCCGCCAGCGGCGAGTCGACGCGAGGCGGGACCTTTGGAACAAGCAGCAGCAGCAGCAGCAGCAGCAGCAGCAGCATGCGGTGCGGTGCGGCAACACGTCGCCGGCCACGAGCAAAAAATCAGCACGCGAAGAGAACATGAAGCAGCGTACGTAAGGTAAAAGCAAGACTGTGTCTGCGATACTGGAAAACTCTTGGACAGCATTTCTAGCCGCGCTACCAAGCGCTACCAAATAGCCGAGCACAGAGGCAAGACTTCTTTTAACGAGCGGGGTACACTTAACATCTTGGCTAGTGTAGTAGTGACAGGGACGCGTTGTGCACAAGTGTGCCGCAAAACCATCGTCCCTGGCGCTCAAACTGAGCTTCGAGTGGAGTTCAGACGGAAGCGACAACGATCCTCGGTCATGACTTTCACCGACAGGAAAACAAGACCGAAGGAAGACAAAATTGGTCGCAACACGCGGATGCCGCGGATGTCGTTTCTGATTGGAACGACGGCAAACCACAGCCCGTCAAAAAACCGCCTCGAGCCCAGAGCGCACGACGACCGTGCCCGGGCTAGCTAGCTGTGCGGGCCGGTGGCGGGCAGGTCACCCACCCCTCCGTCGTTTTCGCCCACATGTGCACGTGCTTAGTCTTGGCGGGAGGGATGGCTTGGTTGTTTTGGTTGGGGGGGGGGGTTCGCACGCAACACCATCATCAACAACAACAGCATGGCCTCACCGTCATTCTCTCTCCCGAGCACACCCGAAACGCCACGTCTAGGTTCTCGTGCCCCTCCCACGGCGGGCTCCTGGCGAACATCTCGTACAAGACCACCCCGAACGAGAACGCGTCAGAGGCCTCGCTGTAGCACCTGGACGACGACAGATGTGAAAGGACCACGATTGACTGTTGAGACTGGACGACGACGTGAAACGACCGCGAGTGACTCTTGAGACTGAAGGACGACAGCGTCCTACTTGAGACTAGACCATGACGACAACGTGTAGCCGACCACGATTGAACACTTGAGAGACTTGGCGACAGCAACGCGAAACCACCAAGAGTGATTGTTGAGACTGGATGACGGCCACGTGCGTAACGACAACGAGCGAATAGTTGAGACCGTGTGGTACCGATCACGAGTGAGGGACGACAACTTGTAGCGACCCCGATTGAACAGAGCAATTTTTGAGACTGAAGGGAGAAAGACAACGGGTAACGACCGCGATTGAAAAGCTGAGACTAGATGACAACGTGCAACGACCGCGGTTGAATATTGTACTTGAGACTGAAGGACGAAACCACGTGCGACGATCACGATCGAGCAGGTGAGAGACTGGATGACGACACGCTCAACAACGACCTCGGAAACGAACAACGCCGCCTTGTTACCCTCGACCCACCCACCGTTTTCGCATCGCCTCCGGTGACGTCCACTTTATCGGACCCATGTCGCTCCTCGTGTACCCTCTGCTCGCGCACTCGCGCTTCACACGAGAGAACCCGAAGTCCGAGATGCGGACGTGGAAGCCATCATCGAGGAGGAGGTTGCGAGAAGCAAGGTCACGGTGGACCACCCCTTCCCTGGCGGACAATAGACGTGGCACGGGAACAAGTGGAACGACCCGTGACGTAGGCATGTCAGGTACGTGGGGAAAACCATGGTACACGGTTGTTGGCGGAGTTTGACTCGAGAGAGGGGGGAGGGGATAGACGGTAACGGTTGCCTACTAGAACCTCGTAGACCAAAAAAGATTGCTTCCGTCAAACCATTTTTCCACAACATGAAGCTACAAAGCTTCACCCTTCACACAATTCACAGTCTTGCTGTCAACTAGAAACGTGTCCAGCGTGCAGGCAGCGCAGGCAAGAAACACAGCAAAAATACTGCGGACGAACAAGTTTCGTGCACTGTTGTTGTTGTGAATCTCTCTGTTGTAACTCTGGTTTTTCAAAACCTTTCCAAAATGGCACTCCAGGCGGGGCCTGAAGTGTGTGCACTGCTACAATATTGTGCTCTCTCTCTCTCTCTCTCTCTCTCTCTCTCTCTCTCTCTCTCTCTCTCTCTCTCTCTCTCTCTGTGTGTGTGTGTGTTGTAACCCTACGGCACTCTAGGCGGAGATATAAAGCGTGTGTGCGCTAGCGCGTGAGCGTCTACACCGTTGCTTGCCTGTGCAGGTGTATCACGCCCTTTGCCGCCTCGATGGCCATGCGGCATACGAGGTCCTTGGTCGCCTTCTTGTCGGAGGAGACCAGCATGTCCTCGACGGACCCGTTCTCCATGAACATCGTCACCACCGACGGCACCGGCCGCAGCAGCACCCCGACGAACTGCACCACGCAATTGTGGTTGCACACTGTGTATGCATTTCGGAAGCAACGGGTTCCCCCACAAGAAAAGGGGTTTCCACCCAGACGGACGGGTTAAAGAGGCGGGGTTGGGGTGATTGAGAGCTTCGCGCCCGATTCCGGGTGAATTTTTACCGCTCGTTGACCGCCTTGCTGTATACAGGAGACGCGTGTGTGGTCATTGAATTAATCTATTTATCGCTCCAACGCAAACCACCACTAGTCGCAAGCAAGGGCTTGAGGGTGTACCATCGGAAACAATGCACATGAGTTCGGTGCGCGAGAGCGAACGGCGCAGAAAAGCCAACGAAATACGACACGTGGACATGACGAGAAATTTCGTTGAATTATTTTCCCTCCCCTCTTGGAAATAGCCGTGTGTCACACGAGCAAGAAGGAGGGGAGACATCCCGTACAGCCAAAAAAATAAAGGCTGCTGCGCGGTTTCCTACAATCCCGCCCACCCACCTTTGGCCAGCATCCTCGCCTCGTGCCGCATCTCCTCCTGCCCCTCCACCAAGTTGTCAATATCCCGCTGCTTAACCTTGCCGCCCAGCTCCGTCCCCGCCGTCGCGCCGTTGCTATCGCCACCGCCGACCGCCACCGATGGCGCCGCGCCCGACGCCGCAGCCACCGCAGCCGCGGACGCGATGCAAGTCTTGAGCTCCTTGACAGCAACCTCCATGCCTCGCCACCGGGCCCGCCTCACCACGCCGAACGACCCTTCCCCGATTACGCGGTCGACCTCCACCTCCTCCGGCTTGAGCTCCTTGAACCCCTCGGCGGCGCTGCTGCTGCTGCTCCTCGCTCGATCGCCGCCGCTGTTCTCTCCCGCGGACAGCGCCCGGGAGGGCTGCAGCACCCAAGCGTCACAATACCGGGGGTCGGTTTCCCCGTTGTCCTCGTCCCCCACACCTCGCGTTACGGGTTGCGCCATGACTTCGGTCGGATTCACCCAGCCGCCGCCGCCGCCGCCGCCGCCGCCGCCGCCGCCGCCCCCACGGGGAGCGGAGGCTACCGCTACCGGCGGTGACCCCGCCCGCGCTCCGCGATCATCTATAAACGACACTCGCCTGTCGCCCCCGCCGCCGTTGGCGGTGCTCGTGAGCGTCGAGGCGGACGGCGCTCGAGCCAGCAGCAGTCGCAGGTGGCCCTTCTTGAAGCCCATCTCCTCGAGGTCCGGTTCCGTGGCCGCGCACATGGCATCCAAGGTATCGAAGCCCTCGGAGACCAATCGGCTCTCGTAAGCGCTGAGGCCCAGGCTCGCCAGCCACTCCGTCAGCGCCGCCGTCGGGGCGCCGGCCTCAGAGCCTGCCGGCGGCGGCGGCGGCGGCGGCGACGGTGCACCGCCGTTGCTATGGGCGGAGCCGCCTGAGTGCTGCCGCGCTATTGCGGCGTTGGCGTTGGAAGCAGGCTCGTTGCCCCCGCCACCGGCACTCTTTGCGCCCCCTGAACAAGCGCAACCGCCGTCCACGCCATCAGCCACCCCCATCGCGAAGAGCCAATCCTAACAAGTAGTCGAGACCAAGTCACAGCATGCGTGAACGCGAGGGTGGGGGTGTAGTGCGCGCGGATAGACGATGTGTAGGATTGTTACAGTCCAGGACCCCCCCAGATTGGAACCGGAAACAAAAAAAGTGAACGTGGACGCAAATAGCCACGAGGACCCAGCCAGGTCACCCTGCCCATGCAGGCCCCCAGCGCCACCCTGATACCCATACAGCACCTCAAAACGTTGAGCTAGTCTATGTCCGGAGCGCACCGTACTGGTCAATCTTGACGGCGGCAGCCAGCGTGGTCGACACCTGTTCACAACTATGCTACTGCGGGTCGCCCTGCGGCATTCAGGCAATGCTTTACAATGCCGTGCAAACGACTTGTCTTGAAACATGGACAAACGACGCAAGCCGTTACCACAAACCTGTCGGTAACCAAATACAGGTACAGCAGTTGCGGCCGTGCGTGACCAAAAAATTATGCACCTGTTTCGAAATACCATACTAATAGGTGTGAAGCTTTCCTCCGCTTAACTCACCGCGAGATAGCCGTGGCCCATAGAGTTTGCCAAGCAGCGCAAGCACAGACCAGCCTTGGTGGTGACGTTCGGCCGTGCTCCTCGAATCAAGAGCTCCTCCGTCACCCCAAGGTGCCCAGAGCGCACGGCCAGCTGCAGGGGGGTGAGGCCCTTGTTGTTCGTATGCTCCAGGTCGGCACTAGGTACGTTATCGCGGCACAAGGGGCGGGCATGAAGGGGGGGAAAGGCTCGCACAGCAGCAAAGTTTGGAACCGGTGTCTCTTAGTACCCTTAAGCAAATACCACCGCAAACGTCTGGAAGACCCGGCCATGCAGCTACAGTGGACGGGGCTCAATAGCGCCGGTTGAATACCACCGGTGGCCATACAGCACTAGTCCCTCTGACTAGAGCGGGTCCATTCGTCGGGGAAAAACCGGCGATATTGAGGGCCCTCCACTGCATCTCCATTCGTGCTAGCATGCCCAGCGAACCCCGATTTCTAAGGGGGAACACACAGCACAGGCTAAGGCGCCTTCTTGCCGGTCACAGGAATCGATCCTCCTTACGAATCAACAAAAAAAGAATCGACGAAAAAAAATGCCTGTACCCATGCGACAGGACTCTCACCCCTTGTCCAACAGGAACGAGACCGCTTCCAACGATCCGTGCTCCGCTGCCTCCATCACCGCCGTCCACCCGTTGCCCCTGCCGACCCATTCCACATCGACGTCCCCGCTCGCCAAGACCCGTCCCATGGCAAGGGTGTCCCCGACCCTGGAAGCCTCCAGCAGCCGGCGCCCCGCTTCCTCGGCCGCCTTCGCGCCGCCTCTCTTTCCACCCCCGCCTTTGCCGCGCCCGCCGCCGTCCCCGCCGAAGCTGATCCCCCCCTCTCGCGCGCGCAGATTGCGGCGCCCCTTCCGTCCCTGGAAGTCTGATCCCCCTGCAAGTTCCGAGGAAGGGAGGAATCCCGCCGCGTCGAGAGAACGCCTGCTGTTGTTCGACCGCTTGGGTACGCCCATGGGAACTCCCGGGCAGTTCTTCTGGAGCAATCGGACCACGGACTTGTGGTTTCCTGCGAGCGCGAGAGCCGCCGCGGACGCACCGCCTCCGTCCGGGGTAGAAGGTGACAGTCCCGCCCCCACGACGAGGAATCGCGTCACGGCCAAGTGGCCTGCCGGTGCGGAGAGGGGAGAGAGTGGCGAGCACGATCTTGGCGGATTAATTTAAAACGCTTTGTTAAAGCCATGCTACCAAACAACATCTTCGAAACATCCCCCCCAACGCTTCACGACAGGGACAAAGATGGAAAAGTTGGAGCAGGCGAAAAGTGTCGCTGAAATTCGAAAGAAAGTGTGCGGTGACGTAAAACTTCCGCATACCGGGCACGGGTCGAGTGATCGCCCAGCATTCACCGACAAGGCCGTGACCTTGCGGACAAATAATTCCACCGCAAACGGCGGAAAAACCCAATTCCGCTGCGCCAAAACACTTGGGCGGTTCTCACCCTTCCCCGCGGCCAAGTGCAGCGCCGTCTTCCCCTCCCGCGTCACGGCCTCCGGCGGGCAGCCCCCGTCTATGAGCATCTGACAGATCCTCTCGTCTCCCCTCAGCGCCGACAGGTGCAGGGCGGTTTCCCCCTTGGTTGTTCGGGCGGCGGCGTCACACCCTTCTAGGCCCAAGAGCCACTCTACCTGCAACGTTGTGTGTCCCGGAGACAACGAAAAAAGGAAGGGGGGGTACTCATGCCTTGGTTGATAGACCATTGACCCCGCGTCCTCGACAGGACGGAGCATTGTTGTTCCCACAGGACCGATCACCGATGGCATGTTCTTGCATGCCGTAGTTGTTAGACCATTGCCCTGCATCCTCGAGAGGACGGAGCATTGGTCTCAGGGCATAGGTGGCCAATGGTTAGAAGGGGGCGTGAAATTGGTGGCACGGTGTTGTTGCACGTGCAGCGAAGGGAGTATGTGTGCGTTTCTTTCACGAAACCCTCGTCCGTGAACGGATGGTATGCATATCCGTTCGTACTCTTTCCGTCCTTTCTCATCTCGACTTGATGCAAATACTGCCATCACTCGGTCCACGAGACCAACTGCATACATCGCAATCGAAAAACGTACACGCTCGTATGCATATACTGTGGTAGTTGCAGTTCGACTCGTCCCATCACAGCTTCACAGCTGCACAAGTCTTTCCTACCGCGCTGCGGCCACACTGCAGCGCGGGCCGACCCTGACATGCAGCAGCTCACAAGATCACTGTCTCGTGCACCCAAGGAAAGCGAAAGCCGTCGTTGTGGCGATGGCGAACGGTATATCCCCGGGGGTTAAGATGCACGTGCTGAGTATCGCTACATGACTCCGCACTCAGAAGATGACTACTGTGCTTGTACAACTGCAACTGCAAAACTGCTGCGTTGTATTGCAACACAAACTTACATCCTTGCACACAGTTGTGCGTAGACAGCTGTGGTGCGATGCACCGATAGCCGACATATTGGGATGCCAGCATCGCGGCAGCTACGGACACCTCTCGCTACGTAGCCAACGCACCGAGGTCAAGCCCTCGATGCGGTCAGGTGAGCTCATCGGTTCTCGTTTGGAACGGGATTGGATGCGGGCTCTTATGCCCAGAGACAGAAGCGTCGCACACAACGGAGCTCTGCTCGAAGTACCTGATAGGGTTCTCGCCAACGCTTCACACCATGTGACGGCCACGATTGAGGCAATTCTTCCCCCATGTCGGTTCTACTTCATCCAGGACTACTGTATCAACCAAACCTTCGTCGGCACACCCGACACCTGTTTACTACAGCTGTAGTAGTCTTCCACAATCGGCTGCTGTTGCTGTACACTGCAGCACGCATGCAATCACGGGAAAAGTCACCGTCGGTGTCGCGTTGCGTGGAGCTTCTTCGAACGACGAGTGTGAACAGAACGGACGGAGAAGGGGCACTACTCACTGATTCGTTGTGTCCACTCTGAGTGGCGAAGTGCAGTGCTCTCCACCCCTTCGAGTTGGACGTGACCAGCATGCCGGCATCGCTGCATCCTTTCTCAAACAAGCTCTTGGCAGACGGAAGATCTCCAAAGATGAGCGCGGAATGGAGAGGGTACCACTTCCCGCCCGCGTCTTTCGCCATTGCAAGGCCGCCGTAGATGCCACGCTGTTTTCTACCCGAGGGGTCTCCCCGCAGCGTGTGTGCTCGTGGAGCAAAGAGGAGGAAGTCGAGAGGGCATCGACGACTCGCAAGGATAACCACACCCAAAAAAACGCGGCGAGACTACGAAGAGGAGTGCCATCTACGGAGGCGGACACCTCGTCGAGCGACAGGAGGGGATGTCCCAAAATTGTCCCCGTGTAAAAGCTTTTTACTCCACGAACGATGCATCATGTAATTTGCTGTGTACGTGCGAGGGACAAGGCGCACAAGAGAAGGAGGGAGAGAAACGGGGCATGTCGCACACCCGCAGTATGTCTCCCCTCCAGATTCCTCGCAAGGCAGCCTGCACTCGGAGTTCACCACCGTTGGGTCATCATGACGAAAATCGCGATTCTGGATCCACATCATGTTCGTGGAAAGAAATCTTTGCAGCCGATCATGGGTCGGTGCCGCAGCTGGGCGTTAACTTCGTGAGGGCTGCTCAAGACGTGGCTACCGTGAAGTACTCCCTGGCGAATACTCGGTCGCAGGGACTGGCGGGTGATGGTCGTATTCAACATGCAACGCTCACGCTGGGGCAGGATCTTCGCAACCTTGGTCTGGGTGCCGTGGTATGGGACTGTGTGAGTTCAGTGGTTGTCAAGTCTTTGCCTACAGGTGCTAGACTAATTGCCTAATGGATTTCATGCTAGCGAGTCATTCCAGTTGTTGTTTCTTCTACATTTAGAACACGGACTGATACATCCTCACGCAAAGAGAGCTATATGTAGAGCAAGTAGAGGCATCTCCTGTATCTTGCCACTCAGCTCAAACCGCCCTCAGTTACCAAATGTATGATGCCCCCACAACGCAACAAAATGCAAGAATACGGATCCTTGTCGGCGTGCCCGATTGCCACCCTACCCCAAAGTATGACCTGTAGTAGCGAGGGAAGCGATCGTTCGGCGTGTGTGAGGTTTAGTGTACTGTAGGTGTTGCGAATCAACGGGTAGGAGTAATCTCATAGCGATGTAGTCTAGAGGCGTCGAATGATGGACCGCAGAGGTCAACAACAAAGTGAAGGTGCCACAGATGATGCTTCTGTTTGGACAACAATAGGAACTGTTACCTGTCTTAAAGGCTATGCCTCAAATGAGATACAATACGAGGGTGGTCAGAATTCAAACTTGTACACAACATATACCAGAGGAAATATAGAATCGGCGAGTACGCTCCCTCCCTGTCCCCACCCCCCGCTTTCGTGTGTGTGTGGCGAAATACCCTTCTGGACAGGGCGAAGACCTTGCCGCATTTCTCGGCCGACATCGCTATCTCGTAGCGGGAAAGAGAGTACTAGACTTGGGTGCTGGGACAGGAGTTGTGGGTCTCGCAGCCGCACAGTGCGGTGCCAAGGACGTGGTGTTGACAGACCGCCATGCCCTCGAGCATCTTGTGCGATCCAACGTGGAACGCAATTCAGGGACGTTTTCAGGACCGGGCTGCCCCCGCGTGACCTTCATGTCTTTCAGCTGGTAAGGAACATTCGTGAAAGAACGAAATCGTAAAGAAAGGAGTTTGGGATTAGGTTGTTTAGGAGTCTGGGGTTTGGTTGTTAGTCTGGGATTTAGCGAGAGATCCTTACTCTTGTTCAAGGAGGGAGGGAGGACTAATGAAAGTCCTGCTGCTTGGACTTGGCGCACATGAACCCGTATGTGACGAAAAGGCACGAAGGTCCTGTACTCACCGTTCGTCCGCTCGCGTCCTTCTCGACGGCACGCGAACGTCGATGACTGCAGGGACAACCACACGGCCGTAGAGGCGAGGGAATTGTCATCACCCGAGTTCGACATCGTCCTGGCGTCTGACTGCCTCTATGATTCCGGGATGTTCGCGGCGTTCCGAAGAGCCTTGGCCGCCACATGCGGCCCGCGAACGATCTTGCTCATGGCCTACAAACGACGGCATAACAGGTAGAAGTACAATGACAATCGATCCCAGGTAGGTGTACGGATCAACTTGAGCTTTTTGTCTTGTTCACACGGCTGACGGTACCTCTTGATCCAAGCAGTCATGCGACGCACTGTGTTCCGCAATGCACCCGGTTTGTTGTGAAAGGGCTGCCGACACCCTCCAATCTGGTCGAAGGAATCTCATGCGAATTTCGGAAGGTCCAAAGCTTTGTGGCGTTCCAAGACAAGGATTTGACAGAGCTCCAGACCCCTGCCCCTCCTCAAAATGAGATTGCCGTCGCTAATCCGCCTCTGCAGCCGCGAGAAAGAATTCTTCGCACAACTGGAAGAAGACTTCGAGCTCGAACTTATTGATCCACGCCCCTGCGGGTCATTGACGGCCTCGAAAGACATGGAGGGAAGGATAGCCGCCGCCGGCAAGATTGCTATCAACCGGAATCGCGGTGTATACTTGCTGCTCGGGGCATGGCGTGGACACCGATGTTCGGAGGGTAGACTTTCACCGCTGGATGAGTGGCGTCTCAATCGTTGACACGGTAAAGGAGGCAACAAAGAGAAAACGTTGATCTTAACTTTCTGGGCGAAACGTTTCGCACGTAACGGTAGGGAATCACTCGAAAACCGCGTAAACCATGAGTCACTCGAAAAGATTCACGGCTTCACCGTCAGCTACTTGCAAAAATTCCCACACCTACAGAATGATATTTTTCCTTGTCACCGACATGACTCCGAAGTCGGCAGGTGTCACCAAACACGTGAGAACTACCTTATACAGGGAAAGCAAGTGCAAACCTCGCAAGCAATAGCAAAGGACGCCGAGACACGCCACAACGCGGAACACATAAGTCTATGTACATAAACAAGGTGACACCGACACCAATAGCGACACGGGAGCAAGGCAACCAAAGTTACACCCTCATGTTGTCTTGGTCGAGTGTGTCTGCTAACTATACGGTCCTATCTAGTCCACCTTCAAGGGCGACGTCTTTGATCGACTGCCGCCCCCCTCGACCCCATCTTCTTTTATCGCTACGATGGCGTACCCAGCCATGACGATGTTGGCTGCCAGCACTGCCGCCATGCCGCTGCCATTGCACGATGAGGATAGCAATGGAGGAGGGGGGGGTGTTGTGATCAGTGGAATTCATTGCCTCGGGGTTCAAGACCAGCCGGAGGGATCGGGGGGGGGGGGGGGGACAGCCAGCAGCCTTGGCAGGATTTTTCTATTGAGAAGTTAACATTTTGAACAACGCATGCAATCGGGGAGTTTTGTGAGGGTTCGGATTAGGGACAGGGTCTACCCCCTCCCTGTCTTATTTCCTCATTAAATTAATATATGACAGGGTCTACCCCGTCCCTGTTTTATATTTCCTCATGAAATTATTTATCGCAGAGGCGGTCCGGCAAAGCAGTCTCCGAAAACGCTTGTAGTGATCCGGTTGCACTCACTGCGGGGGGGACAAGCGCAAGGCCATTGCGCACGACACACCTACAGTAGCTGGGCGAGGTTTGCTCCATGCCCTTCATAAAAGCCCATCCAACCCCGGGTCTGCGTCAAGGATATCCTGATTGTTGCACCGGGAGTGCTGCTTGCTTACTCTAACAGGATACGTCATTGGTGCTGGCACCAGTCAGCTAACTCGACGTGAAATGCAGAGGCGATGTTTGTACATTCTTAACCGACGGGGCACGTGGACGATTGTGAAAACCCGGTACTCCTCGAAGCTCCAAGTATTTCTGCAGTTATTGACGCCAGGAGCTCGCACGCTTGTTTATTTGCCTCGGCGCGCGAACCTTGCCGCTCGCACCTCTACACTATACATACCCTTCTCGCTCACCTGCAAAACGTTCGTGTGTTGGGCGCTGTGTCTTCTCGGCGTTTCATAACCACCACGTGAACGGTGCAGAGAGGCGATACCGGAAGGAGCAAGAGCACGGATACGAGTCGATGTTAAGTTTGGAGCTCACAAGCGTAGACACGTCCCAGACATTGGCTGAGCTCAGTAGCGTCGAACTCCGTTCTGCTAGCCGCGCACGACAAACCAGAGGATTGAGTCTAGTTCAAGAGATGTGAAAACGCGCACGTGTAGGGCAGCAGCATGCTGAAGGCGCATTATTTTCATTCATTTTGCCCTTTACCCATGGGAAATTCACAGGTCGCACAAACAGCCTGTGCTCCTCCATTATCCTGGATCACCCCGCATACGATGTCACGGGTTGCGACCTATTCGCGAGCATGCAAGCATTGGCGCTCTCGCGTGATGTATCCCTCTGAAACTACACTTGCTGACAGACGCAAGGACAGTCGGCGCCGACCTCTGAGTATGTAGTCGTGGAAGGCGAAGAATGTGCCGATGGGAAAGGCCACCATGAAGGCCGAGAACAGGATGAGAGTCTTGACCACGGACCGGTTTTCCTTTGCCGTCAAACTTGAGACAGCGGCGGCACAAGGGAACACGAAAGACATTGAGCGGGGGGGAGGTCTGGAGCCACGTATAGATCATTGCTTCCATCGAGCTACTTCCATGCGTGGGGTCTTGAAGGTTTCCTGATTCCCAAAGACCTCGACCTCGGAGTGGTCGTTACTCGATATAGACTCTACTCTATAGGTGTACCAGCAGATATATTGCTGCCTGTTCAGTGCAGCGTATTTATTTGCGACAGCAGTTTACCTGGACAATACACGCAGCGGTCCGTCACAACCCGGCACTTCATCGAGCTTTAGGTATCCCAAAACACAGAAGCAACGAATTCGAAGCACGTTTGAGCAATGACCAACCGCACTCCCTGCTGGCACACCCGTACTGTACTGCTATACACGTGAACAAAAGGCTGTAGGCTAGAGCAGTACCTAGACTACACGTACACATTCCCCTCCAGGCAGCAGTGTTCGAAGATTACTTCTCGCTCACATTTCACCCACACCCCATCGCCGTGGCAGCGGAATAGGTTTCGGGGCACTTGCATCTGCCGGTGGAGAAGACGGCATTCTGTCGTGCGAGAAGAGATGCACGGCAGAGGCGAGGAAGAGATGCACGCTGGCTGTGGGTGTGTTCACTGCACTGCTGTGGATCTCCGCAATCTCCATCGGAGATGGTGGAGTTCAATTTTTCTCTACGGCGTACTGTGCGCGCGCGGACTGTGGACCGCAGGCCGTACACCGTACACCAACACCACGGCAACAAGCCAGGGCAAGGGAGACCACAACCACGCTGACAACACGGCACACGCAACTACCAGGCGCCCCGAAAAGTGATTGACAACTCCCACGAGCAAGCCAAGCCTTCTCTACGAGAGTCATCCCCGCCCGGACAAAAGCTAACAAGTAGTTAGTCCAGCTGGGTACCTTTGCGCAGCCCAACCAACATGGCAGATTTTACCCAACAACAGACCGTGCCTGTGTCGGCTGACCCAATGGAAGAGGTTGAGAACAAGGCACCCTGCGTAGACGCTACTGCCAAGGATGTGAAGTCCGGAACGCCCAGCCCTGGAGCCGAGGAGAAGCCCACGGAGATGACGAGGTACGGGTGGTGCAGCGTGCGGAGACATGAAAAAGTAGACGAGTTAGTTGCGGGGTGATCGGAGACCACTCCGCATTCTGCGGCCTAGATCGCCCGGACTTTTCTAAGGTCATCTCCATCTCTGTGTGTGTGTTTGGTTGTCTAGGCTGCGCGTCGACAAGCACTACACATCGCGATACGTGCGAGAAACTGGCTGGTCGTTGATGCTGTGTGAGTCCCGAGCGCTTTCTGGTGCGATGTATGTAGTCTCGAGCTATTTTAGCCGAGCCGCGTTGGATTTGGTACAAGATGGACTGGCTCTCTTTCAGCCCTTTGATGATGTTACGGACGTTCATATCGTCGCTGTGCTGCTTATCTTGCAACTATAACTCCTTCAGCAGGTGCTTCAGAAAACTGTCTGCGTGTGCACTTCGGACTGGCATGGCCTTTGTTTATTTTCTCACCGAAGGATGCCTGAAATCGGTGCACAACAGCAGCTGCGGCCCATGTAGATAATGGTGAACCGTGCCGTTTTCATTTTTTGCTGGTGCCTCCCTCTCTGCTCTCTGCCGTTACCGAGGGCTAATTATCTCTTGGTGTGAGGTATCATGGACTCGCGCGCACATTTCTCTGGCTCTCTGCATCGATCGGTGCACATCCAGCCTCGTGCTATTGAAAATGTCAACGACTCTCGCGCGTGTGGACCTGGGTTACCGCTGATTGTTAGAGGATACAGCTGTAGTTTGTATTCCGACATGGAGACCATCAATTCGACCAAAGTTTTAGCTACACTGGTAGAGTCCCATGGTTTGAGAACACGCAGTAGTTTGTGCGAGTGGTTTTTGATACAGAAGAAATAGTAACAAATCGCATCAATATCCGTTCATGAAAGTCGGGACAAGGTGCATGTATACCCCCGGTCCTCCGACTTCAGCAACAAAAGATGGCGCTGCGCGCATACCGACACAGTGGTTTGGGTGGGTCTTCTTGACGACGTCCTATTATTCGTTTTTTCTTTCACAACCAAACTTGTCTCTCTGCGAACGACAAAGGTCGGGAGGGAGGATGGATTTTGGTGATATTTTTCATCTCTTGAGCCTACCTGACACCGCATGCGGTGTCCCGTGGTACCCCCGCCCCCCCCCCTCCCAACACGCCTCACGCCTCGCAGCAAGGACTACTACTTCGACTCGTACTCCCACTTCGGCATCCACGAAGAAATGCTTAAAGACGAGGTGTGTTCACGTGCACGATGCAAGCACCACAACAACACCGTTCGCACAAGAACGGGGTGATAGTGCTCTCAGATAGGGGGCGATCGGTTGTCTCGGCGCGGTTATCTCAAAGAAGAGGGTCCACGGCACCAGTAGTAGTGCGTCGACCTTGCAAGATGTTGCACTTGAACCACCGGGGATTTTCATCTAGGATGTGACAGCGCCCCTCTGAAGTCCCCACGTGACATCTAGGCGATGTACCAAAAGGGGCCTTGTTATGCTAAACATCGCATTCAACGCCGTTGAAGGTGTTGTGTAGGTCTTGGTATGCATTGGCGCTAACCTGCTTGTCTCGGCTTGCCTAACTGCCGGGCACGGTAGTGAGGTATAGGCTGCTCGGCCAATTTGTTTTTGTTCAAAAGCGCCCCGACAACCGTCAAACTTCGGTAGCATTGAGCTCAGACGTTCTCTAATGGACTTCTTGCTCGATTTTTTGTGTTTGCAGTGTTTCGAGACGTTGACTTGGTATGCACCCATGCCGCCGAGTTGTCTCCTAGTAGGCAGCGCATCTGCGTAGAGGAAGGGCGACCTACAACATTTTGTTTGTGGTTGACTCCCCTATCTTGGGTGTTGGTGTTGTCGTTGTCGTCGTCGATCATTGCTGATGCTTTTGTTTAGGTGCGTGCTGATGTTGTTTTTGCTGTCGTCGTCTTGCTCCATGATTGCTGTTGCTAAAATTGTTCGGTAGCCACCTGCTGTTGTTGGTGGTGCGGTCGTTGTCGTTGCCGCTGATGTCGTCACTGTTGATGCTGCCGTCTTCGTCGCAGGTGCGAACGACGAGCTACATGAACGCGATCGAACACAACAAGCACCTCTTCGCCGGGAAGGTGGTGATGGACGTGGGCTGCGGCACGGGGATCCTTTCAATGTTCGCCGCAAGGGCGGGGGCGAAACAGGTGCGCGGGAATGAGGGCGACATGGTATCCAGCTCATAGTAGGGCAATGTACTCATGACCAAGGCATGCACATGGTGAGCACGCAGCCTCTCGAGAATCGCAAATAGAGACACCCGTGAGACAGTGTGCAAAACCGTTGGGTAAAGTCTTGCCCATTTTGTTGTTCGCCTTGAGCTAGGCCCTTGGGCAGATCAGTGATTCCGAGAGTACAGAGTGAGGCGAGCAAGCAACACCCCCTCCCCCCCTGCGGTACCTGGGAAAACTGCGATACCGCCGGAATGTTGGTGGTATGTCCTTGGAGCAGGAATAATGGATTCTCCTTCCCCGAAAAGGGGGTGCCATGGCCAGAACGTACCACCAAGTGTAGGCAGGAAAGTTGGCACACCCTTGCCCCAGCCTTCCGCGCCACCGTACTATTTTCCTTGGCCTTCCAGGTGATTGGCATCGAGTGCTCGACGATCATCGAGCAGGCTCGGAAGATCGTTGCGGCTAACGGGTTCGCCGACAAGATCACGCTCATCAAGTCCAAGTGCGAGGACATCGCCAGCCTGGAGGCCCTGGCCGGCGTGGACAAGGTGTGTAATGTGTTCGTGTGTGTGTTTTTTCTTTGTTGTTAGCCTCGACCTCGTGAACCGGCTGACCAATGAAAAGACGTCAGTCTCAATGCGGTTGAAAATGCTTCTGAAGGCCATGATCTGGGACCCCGTGAGGGGGGCGTCACGGGCGAGGCTAAGCTACTCTCCGGATTACGGACAGAAGTTCTTGGACGCCGTTTTTGTCACGGCTGCTATTGTTGTTGTTATTGCTGCTGATGCTGCTGCTGTTGGTCTTTGGGTTTGATGGCGACTTTGCTCTTGGCGTGGATGTGCTGGTTGCGATCAAAATAGACACCAACACGCCCGACACCCAACGTCAGGTGGACATCATCATCTCGGAGTGGATGGGGTACTTCTTGCTGTACGAGTCTATGCTGGACACGGTCATCTACGCCAGAGACCGGTGGCTGAAGGAAGGGGGGTTGATGCTTCCCGACAAGGCGACGTTGTTCGTGGGGGCGATAGAGGACGAGCAGTACAAGAAAGAGAAGATAGACTGTGAGTGTCCCCATGGTCTAGTCCAGGCCAAAGCAAGCAAGGAAGGAGGAAAATGTAACGGGCAGAGTTGCGGCGGAGATGGAAATCGAAAAACCACTGACGTCATGACGTGCTACCGCCGTCTGTTGGGAGGTCTTGTGGACTCGAGTTGTGGACGGGGTGTATGGAGACCTCGTCAGTAGACACTTGAGCGGCTACGACTAGTGTTTGTGTCTCAAAGAGGAAATGTGGCTGCGCTCTGGGCTACGTTGGTGCCTAGCTCGATACACAGAGGTTACACACCAGGAGCGAAGCGCACACCGCCTCTTTTTGGCGCGATCGACAGCTGGTAGAGCGACGCTGTACAAGGGATAATGATTGGAAACGGCAACATGGTTGTGCTTTTGATTGCTGTCCAAAACATCGCGACAGAAGTAGGTGATGCCTTAATAGTATTCTTACCGCCTTTTGTTCTTTTCACCCCAACCGGGACCCGCAGTTTGGGACGAAGTTTACGGTTTCGACATGAGCGTCATCAAAGAGATAGCCCTGACGGAACCGCTAGTGGACATTGTGGAGGGGAAGGTACGAACGCATTTCGTCTTTTGGGTAGACCGCTGGAGATGGAGATGGGCGGACGTGTGTGTCTTGATCCACCTGCCCATTATTGTTTTATTTTTGCTGGAATTTGGTTAAACCCTCGAAATGACCCCCCTCTTGGGTATGTATTAAGTTTGATCAACCGACCTTCCAAATCTGCAGCAACACGTACTGTCCCTTAGATAGTCAACGTGAACCTTTGTCCTGTCCCAAATCGTGTTGTAACCTGCGGGAAGGACGTTAAATCGCCCCCCCCCCCCATCGATAGCCGTACCTACCGAATGCAAAAGGTTTGGGTAGCAAGCTGGTTTGGAGCGGCAAAGGCAAGGGATGTTCATTCTTGTGAAACGTAACCTGGGCCGCCGAAAAAACGGCACATCGCTCCGTCCCAGCACTGTAGGGATGCAAGGTCAATGGTCTCATGACTACGGCATGCGTTTACAATGAGTACGCCCCCCCCCCCTATCAACCGCACTCTCGCTGCTGTCCCGCAGGCAGTAGCTACGGATTGCCAGGCGATTCTGTCGTTAGATCTGGCGGACTGCAAAAAGGAGGAGCTGCAGTTTAAGTCAGAGTTTGTGCTGACGGCGCACCGTAACGACTTCGTTCACGCGATCGTGGCGTACTTCGATTGTCAATTCAGTCAGGTTGGTCGAGAGGGAGAGGGACGTTTGTGTGTGGAAGTGGCAGGCGGGGCGGGCAAAACGCACGTTCCTGCTGCTGATTTGCCGCTGATTTGCCGCCGAAAGGATCAACAATTTTGGTGTTGGTCTGACCGTACAAGCTGCCGAGGCGCGTGAGTGATGCAATCATCCCCGTGAGGATTGCTTGCTGCACTTGCCGATCCACAATGCTGGGCGTACAAGCGCTCCTGAGAGTGGCCCTGTTTTGCTTGCGAGCGGCGTGGGAGGGGCGGGAAAGGTGGGGGGATATCCCGAAGATTTGGGTCTTGGTAGTTTTTGTTTGCCAAGCGAGTTTGACACCGCCGTCTCGAAGAGTGTGCGCAATCCCACCCGTCCTGTCTACGCTCCGAGGTGCCAACAGTCTTGTGCCCCCGCCCCCCACCTACCGAAGAACTTGGTGCTGCGCATTTCTTTCCCCGTCTTCAACACTCCAAACCTACCGCTAATCGAAGCCTGCTGGTATGACATTACTTGCCAAGCGTAACTCGTCGCTTTTCTGGTCGTTGTATCTACATGTTTCCGTTTTCTCGCCCCAGTTGCACAAGCCGGTCCGATTCTCCACTGGGCCGTTCACCGAGTACACCCACTGGAAGCAAACGGTCTTCTACCTCAGACAGCCGCTGACCATCTGCAAGGGGGAGTCGATCAAGGGCAAGATCACGGTCAAGCCGAACGACAAGGTGAGGGAGCATCGCAAGGGGGTCCGCGGATGGGACACAAGGGGCACCTGTCATAGCTGTAGGCCCAGAGAGCCGCCCGCCGCAGCCCCGCCCAACGTCCGAACGCTTGAAGCAGGCGTTTGTGCTCGCGCAGCACGTAGGTCTGTTGTATATCCGTTGTATATCCTCGTCAAGTGTGTACGCTGTAGGGTGGCGAGAGACGCACGACGATGTACCCCGCTTCGCGCGCTTGTAGCACCCTTGTCCCGCATTCCACCGCCCCGGGCCGCGATCGATGGTTTTCCTCACGCAAGCGGTTAGTTTCGATGTGAACGAGATATCGTTTTCACCCCACCCTCCACCCCGTGCGTGCTCCCAAATCGGTGAACCCCCCCCCCCACCTCGTCTCGATTTCTGCAGAACCCCCGGGATTTGGACATCGCGTTGAGATTGGATCACCAGGGATCCGTCATGTCGTTGCACGCCACACAGGAGTACCGCCTGCGGTAGAGGAAATCCCCTCGCCCCATCCTATCTACCCCCTCCGCTGCCCCTACAGTTGCAAGCGCCAGCACTTGTTGTGAAGAGTGGCCTTTCTCGGAACGCGCGTGTATTGTAACGAACGGTGTTGTTTGTTTCCTGTTTTTGCATGTCGGAAGTCAAGTCACACCCCAACGCTCGAGTGCCGAAAGGCAAAGCAGCACATGGACGCAGTAGGCGTGTCCCGGGAGAAAATTTCCCAGGATGGGGCTCGCGATATTAGGGGCGGGGGGGGGGGGAGGGAGGGTGCTGAGTTGCAGATTTCGCGTCGTGCGATCGTGCGATTCCGAAAGAGGCGCTCGATTATCGAAAGAAACATCGCGCTGATACGAGTTTTATACTTGAGTAGGTTTAAAGCGGTGTGTCGTGGGAGTTGGTTGAGTGTGGGAAGTACTGCGTTTTTGGACCGATGGTCAAATGATCCAAGACTAAGTTGTGTGTTGGGCGCGTGAAGTCGCGCTAGTGCGAATCGGCAACTCGTCGACAGAAACGTGCGTACGCTGACCCTACTGTTGAGAGCGGGGGAGGGTTTTGGAGTGCGTTTGTTGTTGGTGTGAAACGAGTTGGTCGAGGTTGCTCTTGGAAGCCCTTGGGGGACTCGAGGTAGATGTCGTTGCGCACTTGAATGAGTTGCTGCCTGGGTGGTTGATGGATTGTGCACGAGGTTGCCTCGACGCCTCGCTCAACTCGCTAAATAAAGATCGTCATGCTTTGGTGGTGATGGGTGCATCAAGCAGACTTTCCCGCTTTCCCTCGCGTGCAAACGTAACCGAGCCATCTAGAGCGGTTGCCAAGACACGCCGGCCACCCTTGATTCCGCCGTAAAAGCGAAACCATGTCGGTATCACCTCCGACTATTACTCGTCTTGCACAGCCAATGCTCCAAGATGCGGGGAACTGTCAAGATAGCAAATCTTTTTCTAGGGAAACGAACACGGCAACCCTGCCTGTGTGTGAACGTTCCTGCCACCGAACGCTATCCAGCCTTACATCACACAACAGCGCGGGCATCAGGACACAAGCTTTCGGTCACGGGCTGCATGCCGTCAATGGAGGAGACGGACACAACTACAAGGGTTGGGATTCAACACGCCGCAAGCGGACCGATCTCTGAAACACCGCAGTCTCGTAACTGCTCTTGCCCTCTGCCCCCGGTCAACTCTCCACGACTTCCCCTCAAGAGCAAAACAAGCGACCGACCAGCGACGGAGAGAACATGTTAACGCGCTCTTCGCGCTCGTATGTATCTCGACTTGCGCGATGCTAAGCCTCCATCTCCCGCAAACCCGAATGCCGAGGCGTAAGTGCACACCCCCCGTTGTCAATTCGCAATGAATCACTTGTCGGAGGGAGTGTCTTCGTCTCTGGCGAAGTTCTCAAAATCTCTCTCCAAGGAGTCTCCCGCTGTCCTCTGATCAGTCAGAGCCTTCACGTTCATGTACGTCTACAATGCGAGACGGGAGCAAACGGCAGAGGCGAAACGGGGACGCTCAGTGTGGCGCCTTGAAGGAAAACGATGAGCGTTCTTCGGCAACGGGGTTCGTGGACATCTCTCGGGGGAAGAAAATGCCGCATATTTCGAACTGGGCATCAAGCCTGTGACCTCGTCATTTGGACTGGTGCGGATGCTGGAGCATGGTGTCGTTCCGAGCCAGGCGTTTTCGTGGTTGTCGATTCCATTGAGAAAAACCCATGGGAGAACCGGAACGGTACATAATGTAGGGACAACAACCACAAGTGGTGACCTGGGCATTTCCATGGTTCTGAGGGTGGCTGGTCTGTCTCCTTGGGTAGTTGTGCATCTTACCTCTTGGTCCCCGTAAACGATGGCCCCCGGCCGTCTTCGTTGCCTCGCCTTTCGGATAGCCTTGAAATTGTTGCAAAAAATGCACGTTTGTTTGCGAAACACGACAGAATCAGACGGAGACGATAGAACACGTCGTCAACGACGAGGGAGAGGGGGGGGGAGGGGGGGCGGCTCAACATTCATTCCGTGTTGATCTACCGTCGGCAGCGCTCAGGTACAAACCGATGCACCCCCTTGCCTTGGCGTGGGGCTCGACGGTTTGGTTTTGCCGGGCACAGTCTAGCCCATGCTCCCGTGTGCCAAGCGCCCCCTCCCTACAGATCGCCATCACAATCAAGGTGAAGGCGAGGCCATTCTCGCGTGACTGGACAGACCTCCGGCACGGCGCCATCGATGCACACCAGCCTTACCATAGTTGTGGCCACGGAAAAATGAAGAATCAAACACAGTATAGCCGGCTGGGGGGGGGGGGGGGGGGGGGGGGCTGCTGGGCG